CCCTGGGGGAGGTTCCCCGAGTCGGTATATTGTGCGACCGCAGGTGCCGCAGTCCCCGCGTGTCGCGGGTTCATCGTTGCTCAAGATAATCGCCTGGGGGTTCTCCATCTCGCGGTCCGCCTGACACGACTGACAATAGGCGTCCATTAGCCCTCCACCAAACCAAAGTGATGTAATTCTCCTATCTTGCCACTGCAATTCGCAGGCCTCTTCCAGTATTCTCGGCGCGCCGGGCCCCTGGGCGTAGCCGACGGCCTGGTGCCAGGCTTCGAAGTCAGGGTATTCTCCTTCGACTCCGACCACGTTTAGGTGGGCTAGGTATTTCTGCAGGAGGTCCTGTTCGTAGGGGGTCATTGAGCCTCTAAATCGGTCAGGAGGCACCTGTCATGTCCTGTTTGGGATCAGATCGTGTCGGGCCGGGATACGCGGGTCCGGCCGCCCTGGATGGTCACTATCGCTCTTTGTTCCAGGTCTTGACCGTGCAGATTGATAGCATCTTCGACAAGGGCGATTCGTTCCGCCATTCGTACGTCGGGGAGCCGTATCAGGCCCGCGTGCGGGACATGCAGCACATAGATCAACTCTCCAAAGCCCTTGTCCAAGGTGATGAGCACTCTGTTTTCCGACGCCGCCAACTCCAACAGGTTCCGGTCCCCGGGGTCGGCACCGATGTCTCTTCCATCGAGGACATCGTGGCCTTGGTTGTTCAAATGGCGGCTGAGCCTGCGCCCTACGCAGCGGTCCACCAGGAACCTCATGCCTCTCCGACCGACACTGCGGACAGCGATTCACCGGCAATGACGGTATAGGCGTAGGCGATACAGGCACGGAGGTCTTCAGGTTCCAACTCAGGGTAGTCATCCAGGAGTTCCTCCTGGGTGGCGCCCTGACTCATCAGGTTGAGGATCATTTCCACCGGGATTCTCATGTCTCGGATTATTGGCTTGCCACCGAATACATCGGGCCGAGCAGTTATTCGCTGGAGGAGTTCTTGATTATCTGGCATTGGTTAATTCCTCGGGTTACGAGTGTCGTCTGCCTAGCCCCGCGGGGGCTATCCCGAAGGACGCCTTTGTCTTCTTGGACGACCTTGTTCTTGGGTCATGCCGTGATGGTCAGGCTTCCTTGCCGGGTATCCTTGGAGGTAACCTGCGGTGGGAGCGGCTGTCCCCTCTCCTTGAGCGACTGGATGATGGCTCTGGCCACTGCCCACAGATCTTCCAGCGTTTCGCTGGGTGTATCTCCCCAGGCGTTGCATCCCTGGAGGGCCGGGACCTCGGCCCAGTACATCCCGCCATGTTCTTCTGTGGGTTCGTGGAGAACGTACTCTAACTTGTAAATGTCCATCCTTTTGCTCCTTGCCTTTAGCGCCGCAGCCGGTCGGCGGGTCCGCCGCCCCGGTCTGGGCTTCCTCCCCCCTGCTTCCGGAAGCAGGTGTGCTGGCGGCAGCTGCTTCTGTCGTCCACGCAGATGGAGTCTTCGCACCGGATGCAGGCTTTTACCTTGTCCGCGGTGTCATGGACTGTACCGCAGTGTACGCAGGTCCTGGTGGCCAGCTCAGCCTTTTTCAGGTTGTCCGATTTTACTCTGAGGTCTCGTTCCAGGTAAGTAATGCCGTGGGTCTGATAGTGTCTTATCGCTGGGTCCAAGTAGTCCCATCCGCTTTGCTCCAATAGGGGCCAGTTCTGGACCACGAGGTCGCGGATCCGCTCTTGTTCTGGAGTAGTCGACTGGTGTACGAGGTCTGGCTCTTTGACCCAGGTTGGTCTTGACCCCGGCATCTCCGACCGAGGATCTGGGTTATCGTGGGGTAAAACCCCGGAATCTGTTACCGGGGAACCGGTTAAACCAGAAGACGGAAGAGAGAGAGAAGAATATATATCTTCTCTCTCTCTTCTTGTTTACTTCCTGTTATGTCGGAACCTGTTACCGGGGTTGCCCGGAACCTGTTACCGGGGTTGGGCTCAACCCCGGTACCTGTTACCGGGGTTAGGTCGCTCCTGTTGGGGTCAACCCCGGAATCTCTTACCGGGGTTGGCTCTCCGATTTCCTCAACCCCGGAACCTCTTACCGGGGTCTTGTTTTTGCCTTTTGGCGTAACCTCGGAACCTGTTACCGGGGTTGGCTCCAGTAATAAACCGTCCTGTACAGGTAGAGTGAGGAATTTCTTTCGTCCTGGTCCACCTGCCGACATTACCAGGGTTCGGTTCTCCAGTCCTTGGATCGCGGTTCTGATCGATTTCTCGTTATAGCCCGTGTCCAGTGCCAGGGTTTCCATAGTGGCAGAGCAGCCGTTGCCACGGCCATCTCGGTAGACGACTTCATTCAGGACTGCAGCCTGGGGTGGCGGTAAGCGGTGTGATCGTATGACGCGACGAGCCCAGGCCATTCGTTCCAAGATGGTAGGCCAGTTTTGGAATTGGATCTCGGGACCGCTCGGCTGGGGGGCGACAATGTCTGCGTTGGGGAGTTGGCCGTCCCACTCTCCGGTGTCGGCCGAGTAATGGCCCTGGGGCGGGGCGTGGTGGGCGATTGGGCGGTTTTCGTCCTGGATGGGGATTGAATCAGATGTGGCCCGGTGGTAATCTGTACCCATGGGTCTGGTTCCTCTTCAATGAGTTTGGGGCTCGAGGGGGGGAGACCATTTAAGGCGACCGATGTGGTAAATCGGTCGCCTTCTCGTTTGCCTTTTAACTCGCCAAGGCGGCGGCCTCCAGCCTGCTGGGGCAGGTGTCGTCACCCTTGCAAATCATTACTACTACTCGGGCTGCGTTGCCGTCGGTGGCTTTCAAGGCCTGCCTGCGGCAGGTCATTTGATTGTTATACTCCCCATCGATTGGCTCGAACCAGATTTGACTTCCTTCGATCTGCAGAATCCAGCCGTGATAGTGTCTGGGTTCTTGGCTCAAAGCAATTCTCCTTCAGTTCCATTCGGATGGTTTGGCGGCTGAGCTTGTTATGATGTTAACAGGGTATTTGCTGCCGGGCAAGTAATTTATGAGGATTATGTAAACATCCATGGGTGTAAATGTCCCTGTCCCGATGTTTTTATCGTACTCTGGGTTTTGTCTCCTTTGCTATGAATTGCGGTGACGTGTTGTGGGCCTCGCACGTCTTCCGCCTTTAGTCGGAAGTTTCTGAAACTGGTTTCTAGTTATCTAGTAGTCTACGATGGTATTAAAGTATTATCCTACTGGACTACCAACCTACTATGCTAGAAAGCTAGGAAAGTACTATGCCGGTTATTGCTTTGTGCAATCAGAAGGGTGGCTGTGGCAAGACCACCATTGCTCTGAACCTAGCCCAGGCCTTCGTGGTTGGCGGTTACCGCGTGGCCCTGGTGGACCTGGATCCGCAGGGATCTGCCCTGGACTGGGCTGCGATGTCCACGGTGGGAGGTCCTGAGTTTGCTGTGGAGGAACTTAGCCGGGTGCAACTCCTGGAGCGGGCCAGGTCTCTTCGCCGGGAGTATGACGTCGTGGTGATTGATTGCCCGCCCCAGGTGTCCGAGCCAAGCGCTGCGGCGGTCCGGGTGGCTGACCTGGTGCTGATACCGGTGCAGCCCAGTCCCTTCGACGTGTGGGCCTCTGACGCGATTGTTTCCCTAGTGCGGGCCCGCCAGGACGTGTCCGGTGGCCAGCCTTTGGCGGCTTACGTCGTGTCCCGGGCGATTAGTAAGACGGCGCTCCAGCGGTCCCTGTCGGAGGCCTTGGTGAAGGCGGATATGCCGGTGCTGTCCTCGGGGACCACTCAGCGTGTGGCCTACTCCACCAGCGCCGCGTCGGGACTGACGGTATTTCATGGCAAAAGGTCGCCGGCCACTGCAGAGGTCCTGAGCATACGGGATGAGGTTAAGGAGGTATTGAAGGATTATGACTGGTCCTGATTTGAGCCGGTTTCCGTCGCGGCGCCGGCGTAATGAAGAATTGCCTCAGCGGGTTCAGGCGGAAGTGGAGAAAGAGGAGCTGCGTCAGCTGAATATTGATGTGCCAGTGGATCTGCACCGGGCCCTGCGGCAGCGGGCCTTGGACGATGATGTCAGCCTGCGGGAGTGGTGCATACGTGCGCTGGAGGCTGCTCTAGGAAGGTAGGAAGCAAGACAAATAGGTTGCTAACTTGCTACTAAGCTAGGATGATATGTTCCTGGTGGCGTACTCGGTGTCCCTGTTGGGGCCGTTCTGCTCCTGCCTGCTGTTTAGCAGGATAATGCGTTCTCCGTTTTGGACAAACTGATGTCCTGGTCCTTCCGTGTTTGGACTGTGGTAGCAGCCTACGGCGCTTGCCGATGCTCTGTGTTGTTTTCTATTTGAACGGGTCCGTTTTCTCTCACGTCGATGCTGAGGTGATGGCCGGCCATCAGGCGCATGCCCGCCAGCGGTGTGGATCCGCTGGCGGTGGCCCTCACAGTTCCTGTTTGGCCATCCCAGACTATTTCAGCCTGGTGGGTATGGAGAGTGACGGCTTCGTCATTGGCGAGAACGGCTACTGTGGAGTTTAAAAAGGGGAGTTGAAGGTCTCCGACCAGTTCCGTGGGGAGCAATAGGAAACCGTTGTAGCCGGTGTCAACGACCGTTTCGATGTCCCTGGTTCCTCCGGTCGAGGTGAGGATGGTGATAGTGATCACCGCTTCGTATCTGTCATTGACCGCTCCTTTGATCAATCTTCGCTCCTCAGAGTGCCCCCTCCCAGGGTGTAGACTGCCCGGTATCCGGCCCTTCGGCACAGGATGTTGAAGGCCTGGGGATGCACTTTGTGGAGCTCGGCAACGGCTTCGTCTTCGTCCGCTCCGAGCGCCCACTTCTGCGCGTCTACGTCAATGGCCACTATCTGGCCGTTGTGGTGGGGTTCCACCTGGCGGCGTATGTTGCGCTGGTAAGTCTCTTCTCCCAATCGTCCCATGACTTCGGGGGGATATGGTTCTCTTGGGATATTTTGTTGCGTCATCCTTTCTTATCTCCGAGGGCATATCCGGACTGGGAAACTGGTTGTCTGGTTCGCTCATTGTAACCTTTGTTCGCTTTGCGGCGAAACGCGGCCTGCTTTGTATTTCTGCTTGGGAGGGGACCGGGAGTTTCTGGCCTAGACTGAAGGTCTCCTGGGCCTGGTGCAAGGTGATGCCGTGGCTTGTCGGTCGGCGTACCCCGCCGGCATGGTGGAGCTTTTGTACCGGCCCATGGTTATTGGAGAACTGTCTAGTACCACAACGACGCATTGGATAAACTTGTGGCTGACCCTATTTGTATAGCTCCGGGCCACCTGCTGCTGGACTCTTTCGGCAATGGGCCCTCAGGTACGATCTAGCCGCCGGAATCACCGTCCCAGTAAGTCCCTCGTTGTAGTACTAGAGTTCCACAAGGTTAGGGAGCTAGGGAGCTAGTACTCTAGGATACTATACTATGTGAATGCTCTCTGCAGTCCGCCCCTTCAAGCAGCGGCTCTGGCGGTCGTATACTGTATCTGCGGGGACGAAGGAGGCGATCCTGAATCTATTTGTTGGAGGATGGGTGAACATGGCGGCAGGCAGCTTGAGGCCGCACATCGTGCGGGTCATGTCAGAGCGCAGGGAACGGCCCCTGAGCACCGGGGAGATCTACGAGGCGGTGGCCACGATGGGGGTGGCCGGCTTTGACCCCCGGGCGAAGCGGGACCGGAACCTGGTCAACCGCGAACTCTCAGATTTGGCGGGCATGAGCCCCGAGTCCCACAGCAAGCCGGCGCCGCAGGTATTGGCCCGGGTGGGCCGGGGCCGGTACATATTCAGGGAGCCGGAATTGCCCATGGACCAGGCCCTGGTGCAGGAGTACCTGGAGCCGGAGGAGATGTACGAGAAGCGGACGCCTCGGGGGCGTCGGTCCGGTCCTGTCAGGGAGAGGGCGCCCGAGTCGGTGCGAAAGTCGCTGTTTGCGGTGCAGAGGGGGATCTGCCCCGGGTGTGGAATATACCTGCCCCACTACCTGAGGTTCGAGGTGGACCACATCGTGGCGCTGGCCGACGATGGGAGGACTGAGCAGCGGAACCTGCAGCTGCTGTGCGGGTACTGCAACCGGGTGAAGGGGACGAAGGGAAAGGACGGGTACCGGCTGAGGATGGCGGAGTTGCGCGCGGACAACATGGCCACCGGGGTGATGGCGGACGAGGGCATGGCAGAACTCACGGGAAAGCGGCTGGCCCAGTATCACCGCGGGGAGCTGTCGGCGTAATGGGCTGGCTGCGGAGGCCCGCGGAATCGTTAGGTGTTACGGGTGGGGGCGTTCAACGGCCTTCATCAGGCGGTAGTGTAAGCGTAGATGGCATCGGATGGCCATGACCTGGGAACCAGCTCACGTTGCTAAAGAGGGGTAATTGGGAAAGCTTCGGCGCTCGGAGAGCCGATTTAAGACCCGCGTTGTCCCCTGGGGCAGTAATTTGCTTTGAGAGGGGAACTTCGCCACGGCCAGCGCCGGGGCGGTGTCTGTGAACCCCTTTGAGGACACCCCGGTCCCGCCGGACGGCCGGTGGAAAAGTGGAAGGCAATCAGCCAAGGAGGAGAAACATATGACCAGCGATGCCAGTGACCAGATCTACTGCTTCAAGTGCCGCAGCAAGACCGACACCCTGGAGGCCCAGGAAGTGGTCTTGAAGAACGGCCGGCCCGCCGTCACCGGCCCATGCACCGTCTGCGGTACCAAGAAGTTCCGAATGGGTGTGGCCAGGAAGTAGCGGTCAGGTAGTGAACCGGTGGGATGAGTAAGCAACTCTCTGAGTTGGTTAATGGGGTAAATGGCGGGTGTCACTGGCCTGTCATCCTGTCTGGTTTTCTCTGGCATTCCTGTTTTCGGGGAAGCCGCGTAGCAAGCCCTTCCAAACCAACGGTTTCGCCGGTCTCAGCATCATTGATACCAGCCAGCTTCGGCGGATCAGATGGGTTGGCGTAGCTATAATCTAGTTGGCTCTGCGTAAGGCCTTGTATGGAGGTGCGAGGGATTATAAAGACGGAGCCTGGGGTCATATCTTCATCAGAAGTGTTGGCAAAACGAACTCCCGATACAATTGCGCTGGAGAAATGAGCGCCGAGCACGTTGGCGCCCATCAGATGTGCGTGGGACAAATCTGCGTCGGAGAAGAGGGCCTCGGATAGATTTGCCTCAGCCAATATTGCACCTGAGAGGTTAGTTTGAACATTGATGCATTCGAGCAGTTCGCGTTAACCAATCGGATATTTGTAAGTTGAGCACGGGTAAATTGTGTCCACAGGCAGTTCGCATGGTCAGCTAACACATCGGATAGATTTGCATTTTCCAGTTGAGTTTGGGACAAATTTGCGCGGGTGAGTCGTGCCCCGGACAAATTCGCGCCGTTGAGGTTGGCATTCGATAGGTTTGCGCCTCCGAGGTGAATGCGATTCAGGTTAGCTTCTCTCAAATCAAGTCTGAAATCAGTTTCCTTTTCGATGTTGATGATAGATTGGTTACGATATCCGATGAACGCCATTATGGCTCCAACATCTTCTCTGAAGTGTTCTTCCGTTTCGTTGTCAGGCGATTGTGTGGTGGATTCGTCCCTGGTTGGATGCCGAACGAATGCGCAGAACAACCCCAAAATTTGGATGGCATACTCTTTGGGATTGTCTTCGGCTAGACGTTGAAGCGCGTAGATTCCTCCCATGCGAACCGAAAGAACGCCACTGCCAAGCATCTCGGCCCCCTTCTGGTAGCGCTCGTTCAACAATCCGCGTTGTCCAGTATCAGCCTGGCGCTCGGCAAGCCTGCCCCGCCAGAGAGCGAAGAATAACGCAACTATGCCGCCAACCACGAAGCTCATATTGCGAATGGTGGTGCTTGGAGAAGCCTCAGTGCCGTGTAGAAACTCCCAACAGCTCCACGAAACGAGTATTCCTGCGAAGCTCACCCCAAATATCAAAGTTACCCACACGAGAGCTTCGTGGTTGAGTAGTCGGAGTACGTAGGCTATGAGGCGTTGTGTTCGATGTCGCAGGCGAATCTTTCTAAGCCAACTCACTTTTCTGGCACCTCGGTCAGGAACGGCTTGCACGAGGCAGCCCAGATCCGGACTTTCCCATATTGGCAGTCTTCAGGCTCAAAGGGCAATCCAAACGAGATGCTAGCAGCATATGCAGGTCCTGCGAAGCATGTCGATCCCCGGTCTATCCAATAGGGGACGTGTTTGCAGTCGTAGCCCACCCGTGGCCCTCCCGAAGGCGGAGAAAGAGAAAGGCACGAATTCTCTAACCTCTTCTCCCATGGTAGTACCTGGCGACTGCGCCCCGGCCGGCCGCCTGCCTCTCGGTGTAGCGCGCCGGCATCTTGGGGCTCTTCCACCGGCCAGCATTCATCAGCGCGGGCAGTTTCACCCCCGTGGCCGCCAGATCCTGGGCCATGCCGACTCGGCCGCTGTGGCCGGTGAAGCCGTCGCCCAGGCCCGCGGGCTTTGCCGCGGCGTTCACCCTCCGGCCGATCTGGCTGGCCGACAGCCCGAACACCGGCGTTGACGGGTCCACCACCGCGAAGCCCGCCGGCATGATGTCCACCAGCGCAGCCGCGGCATCCTGGCCGATGTACAGGACCGTGCCCTCGGCCTCGGGGAGTGTCTTCGACCGGCGCACGTGGATTCGCGCCGACCCGTCTGCCTGGATCTCCACGTCGCCCCACCGGAGCGTCGATGCCTCCGACCGGCGAAGCAAGCCATCCCGGAGCACGGAGAGCAGGGCGACGTCCACCAGCCCCGACGCCGTGCATCCCAGGCGGTCCCAGATGAAGTGCTGGCCCTCACTTGCCAGATACGGACTTGCTGGTCCCGGCAACCGTTCGAGCTCTCGCCAGGCGTGAGTGCGGCGAACCTTGCTACTCTGCGGTGTTCTATGACCAGGTTCCGATCTGCCGTACTCGGGATTACTTAG